CCGTCGCGGGCGGGGCGCGCGCAGCCGCCCCCCCCCCTCGCTCCGCACCCCCTGCCGCTCCGCGACTTGCTTGAACATCGCCTCGGCGCGCTCCTGGCCGCCCGGGGGGCGCCAGACGTCGGACATCCGGGGGCGAAAGGGGCGGCGGGAGCAGGAGGAGGCGAAGAGGGACACCTGGAGAGCGCGTCGCGGGAGGCACGGAGTGCGAAGGGGCCGGCGGGGCCATGGAGGAGGATTGTGATAGTTTTTTTTTCGGCGTTTCGACATTGAGCGGAAGGGGGGGGAGGGGGGGGTCTGGCTCTGGACCTCTGCTTAGTGCGACTGTTTGCGACAGTGCGTCCCATGGGGGAGGGGCTCCACCTGCTCGAAACAGGCGCCAAACACAGCCAGGATCCACTCTAGAAGGGGGGGAAGGGGGGGTGCTAGGGCCCGCGCCGGTCGGCAAAACAAGGAATAAAAGCACGTTCGCATTTCTGAGAGACCATGCTGTTTTGTCTGTTCGGTTGCCCGCGCAGCGACGGGGGATCGCCGTGCGGTGCCGCGCGCCTGGCCACCTAGGAGCAAGCGAGGGATGATGGTAACCTGGATGATGATGATGACGATGGTGGTGGTGATGATGATTCGGATGAGGATGATGGTGATGCTGATTATGATGATGCTGCTGATGGTGATGATGATGAGGATCAAGGAGGTGGTGATGATGCTGAGGAACTTATGATGGTGATGCTGATCAGGATGATGATGACGACGATGACGATGAGTATGAGTATGATGATGATGCTACTGCTGATGATGATGATGCTGATGGTGATGATGATGATACTGCTGCTGATGATCAAGATGATAATGAAGATAATTATGCTGATGTTGACGCTGATGGTGATGATGATGGTGTTGATGATGATGATGGTTGTGGTGGCGACGATGATAAAGATCGTGATCATGATGGTGGATAGTGTGATTGTGCTGGTAATGTTGATACCAGTGGCACGCTATCGAAGAATGTGTGTGTGGGGCTTGCTGCAGTATAGCATCTACGTGCAACGTTGTAGTACACGGACGTGCAAACAATTGAGCAGTGGCACGGCTAGCTCACGGATGTGCTGCTGCATCCAGCCCTGCTGGTCTTGCTTGGGAGGGAGGGATGGAGGTGAGGGGCGAGAGAGGAGGGGCGGAAGGGACGGAAGGAGGGGATGGTTGGGAACGAGGAGAGGAGGAGGGAAATGGATCGACAAGATGGCGACGGCTTCTCCGTTTGCTCGCTTCCTTGTCGTCTGAAAGGAATTATCTCTGCGCGTCTCCCCTCTCTGTATCAAGCCCACCACAAGCCCACCTGCGCAAGCTTTGTATTCGGAGCTCGCTTCCAGCAGCCCACCAGGATCAACCGCAAAGGAGGGCACCGCGAAATAACAAAGGAGAGGAGGAAGACACTTAGGAAGAAGAGAACGATGGTATCATAGGGATGCGCACTGAAGGCGGCTGGCGTGGAAGGCTGAAGCAAGCGGCGCAAGGACAGGGCGGTCCTTGTTGTCGGGATTCTTGTCTGGATGCCATTGAAGCGCTGCCTTTCTGTAGGCCTGTGGGGGAGCGTGCAGCATCCCATCAGCTGAGAGGGGGGTCGCCAAGGTGGGACCAGAGTAGATGGTGTCCGCGGGTCCGTCCGCACCGCACCGGCGATGCAGATGCATCGGCGACGCCAGGATGGATAGAATCGGCATCTGAATCGTGCCGAATCCCGATGTGGCGCGATCCTCCGACGGGCAAAACCTTCTTCGGCGCCGTGGGTGCCGCCCTGAAGGATCCGCAAAACAAATGCACACGTCCAACTTTAATGCTGGACAAACGGATCCTGGAACCCTGATGGCTGAGTAGGGCACCTTCGACCAACATAAGACAAGAACGCTGTATGATCAAATCTGGGGTCGGAATTCGTCCGTCGTCCTGGAGGGCCGCCAGCGAATTGGAACCGGTGAAATCGCTCAACTACAAAGGTGAATTAATACATTACTCGCGGCAGAACAACTGATTTCTGAATATGCGCGCAGGATGGTTCAGTAGTCCCTTCGACGAAGCCTGCTTTCTGCAGGGAGAAACCCCAAGACCCGATCATTACGCATTCAACAACCCAAACCAACGGAACTAATGATCTGCGAATGTCATCCTATCCGTCATCCGTGGGGGGTCAAACTAAGTATAGGTCGGGCCTGTCCCCCTACAGGCGGAGTTTGGACGAACAATCGAGCATACCCCAAAAATGCCCCAACATGGCCAAACAAATATACAACTTGGCCAACATGCCCCAAAATGGCCAAGATGGCCAACAAAAATAATCCCCAGATTATTTTTGGACTATATTGGAATATTCCCCCCTGTAAAGGGACAGGCCCGACTTAAAACTACGTGCTGACCGGCGCAGCGGGCTCTGGGCCGACATGCCAGCGCCCCAGGGCAGCAGAAACAATTCGCGTCGAGGCTAACTGAGCTGCACCAGCACGTTCACCAACGAAGGGGTGGCCAGGAGAGGAGGGGCAACGATAGGGGGGAACTGGCATAGGGAGGGATGCATCAACCTGGAATCGGCGATTCATCGCCGATAGCTTGGCGACAGGCCCCCAATAGACCAGTGGGCCAATAGTGCATCCGCACCTCCCTGGGTAGGTGGGGGCTGTCGGGCCCCCATCGTCGATCAGTGGGCGGTTCGGAGTCGATGCCTCCCCCTATGCCTATCCCCCGCCAGCGCTGACTGGTGTCGGTATTCGGATCATAATTCGGGTCTCCCGCACCCCCGGAACGCCGTCGGCGAGGCCCAGCTGCTTGAAGGCATCCCGAGGCTGGAATACCCCCGAGAGACGACGAACACGTCCGAAATCCTCGGGCCTGCACCTCGAGCCTAACGTTGCCCCCCCTGTCGTGCCGATCCCCCCCCCCTCTCGCTGCCCCCGAGGAGAGGAGTCGCAATCCGAGCATGCAGCAGGACTCGCGGCGTCCACGCCCCCCGAGCCGGACATCTCTCGAATCTGGCCACTCCGGCGCTCCACCAGCACATGCACACGACGTTTCCTTTACTGCTGCTGAGACGCGCAGCCCGTGCCTGCTCCCTGCTGGTCCGCACCTGCGCACGGAACGTGCAGGTGGCACCCTCGGCGCGCACACAAACCATGCGGTGCACTTCCACCTGCCATCCTGACCGCTGTCTCTGGCCCGATTTCTAGCGGTCAGCGCCACCTCGCTCGACTCCATCAGGGTGCGATCGAACACCTCAGCGCCTCTCCTCCTCTTCCATGCCTTTTGCATGAAACTACCTCCTCCCCGTCGCACCCCGGGGCTGGTCGAAAGGGCGGGTCGGGTGTTTCGCCTGAGGCTTCCTCTCCACTTACGATCCTGAAGCTTAGAGGTACGCAACAATTTTACACATAGAGGGCGGGTGGTTTTCAAAATGTGGCTCTCGCTCTCGCGCCACGCACATTCGTCCACCCAAAAAGTTGCAACAGTTATACCTATGGAAGGCGGGTGGTTTTCAACATGTGGCTCTCGCTTTCGCGCCGCGCACATTCGTCTACCCAAACAAATTGCAAGAAATTCACAAATCAAGGGCGGGTGACTTTTAAACTGTGGCTTTCGCTCGGGGCGCACCTTAGTTATAGAAATGTGTAAAAACAAAAAAAGCTTGACGGATTTTGGGCGGTTCATTTGGCTCTCGCCTTAGCGCCGTGCACATTCGTTTTAAGAGTTCGCCAGAGTTTCACTGATTCTCATGGTGAGCGTACCAGAAATTTTGTTTTGGAGCGATTCAGGTTTGTCAGGGCGCAACACATACGCTGATTCGCGGTGTTGAAGCCCCAGGAATGGCGTTTTGGCACGGTTCAGGATCGCCAAGACGTGCCAGTCTGGTTGACTTGTGGTGTTGGACTCCTGAGAGCGGTGTTTGGCACGCGTCAGGATTTTCACACGCTTGTCCTCCTGCGGGGCAATTCCCTCAGTGCAAATGAACACATGCAGGGGCCTATGAAGAGGGAGCTTCGACGGAGGGTGTATGCCAACATCGTTGATGAGTCTCGGGTTTGCACTTGTCCTCAACCTCCTCCTCCTCCTCCTCCTCCTCCCATCGGCGCTACCATCTTTCGCGCTGACTGTTCGTGCCTTCTTTATGTCATCGTCGCTGGCGTTCCGGGCAATCCCGAGGACCTGGTAGTAGTCATCATCCCCTTGGCGATTGGGGGCAACACGCTGCTGCAAGGGTTTCCAAGTGCTGCCGTTCCCCCCCCCTCCCCTTATCCCCCTGCCATTCTATATTCCCTCCAGCTCCCCCTTCTCCTTCCCCCTCTCCTCCCTCATCATCCCCTTGCCCCTCTGGCTTCGCTGCCATCCCACTCCCCATCCCGCTCCCTGTCCCCTTCCCGTCGCCCGCCCCCCTGCCATACCCCTCCGCCTCAACCTCCCCCTCTGTCTCCTCCTCCCCGCCTCCCCCTCCCCCCCTCTGCCCCTGCTCCTCTCTCATTCCTCTGCCCCAGATTACTCTCTCCCTTGCCCTCCCCCCGCCCTGACCCACCCTCTGCTGCGAATGCACCTTCTGGCGAATATGCTAGGTCTACGATAGAACCTAGCAGTTAGCTCATCAACGTTGCTAGATGCACGCGCAGATCGGCAAGAAAACAACGGACGGCACCCCCAACTCAGAAGCACGTGCAATAACATGGACGGTTAAAAGTCATCTCAAAATGCGCCTACCTCTGAACACTTGTAATGAGAAGGGCACCCGTCTTTCCGACCTTGCCAGTATTTCGCCGAAAAGCATGTGCTATGGCAGTATAGGTGATGGCGCGCTCCCTCACATGTGGAGTTCGACGACTGGGCCCTGAACAGAACAAGCGCGCCAATACAGATTCCCCCCAACACCAATTGCACCAAAGGGAGTCCTCATTTTGCGATCCTATTTTGTTTCTCCACCGCGGCCACCAGCCAGCCGCAATCGTGGAGTGTCGATCCTAGGCCCCGTACGAGCGGAGCAGAGCGAAGTGCTCCCCGGACGAACAACGAAAAAACCGCACGTCGCGCGTACACTGTTGTGCCAGTCCTCTACCGGGCATGCTTCCCGTCGACGCGCCACGAGATGCCGGCGATCGAAAGAACAAGTTGTGCCATCCGACGCCGACACGCTCCAGCGGAGCGAACCGAGGAACACCAGGAACGATCAGTGACTGCAGGAACACCAACCGTCGAAGGGCCTTGTGTTGCTGTGTGAGCTCGCCAGCGTGCAGACCAGTCTGGGTGGACGGTACCCGCACAGAGGACCCCCTCGAGCGGAGCCATGCACCAGCAGGGGCGAAAGAAAGAGCGATAGGGGGAGAGGAGATAAGATGAGGGGGCGCGAGCCTCGCTGAGAGGAGGAGAGAGGAGAAAGAGGAAGAGTGGAGAGGCGGAGAGGAGAGGAGAGGAGGGGAGATGGAGGAGGAGATAGTGGGGGAGAGGAGGTAGAGGAGGGGCGAGGAAATAGAGGAGCGCGAACGAAAGAGCGAGGGGAAGGACAGAGCGAGGGACAGAGGAGATTTGCAGTGGAACCGCGCACAGAGGGTCGGCGCATCACTCAACAAGCAGGTGCCAGCTTCCCGGTAGCGAATCGCCATGCCTGCTGTGACCCCCTCTGGAGTTGCCATGCGTGCTGTGATCCCCACTGGGGGGCCGAGGGCTGACGCCTGGCCTTATGATGCTCCAACCTACTTCAGCCTTGACCACCAGCAAGAATTTCGAGCACCAAGAATGCACCGAAACTCGAGGGTTCTCACGTGCCGGGCCCTGGCAGACACTCGTTCGACACTGCTTCGACACTTTTTCGTCTCTTTTCCGGGTGCTCGACATTCGGGCAGGGCGAAAGGGGGGGATAGCAAAGGGGGGGGGGTTGAGAATCAGCTCACGTAGTTGATTTTCCCAGAACCTCCCGGCGCCGGGAGGCGCCGATGTATCGAGGAATGGGCCCGGCGGCGGGGCCGAAACCAGCTGCATGCAGCAGATGTCGTAACCCCCCCTTTCCCTATCCTTCCCTTTCGTTCGGCCCGAGAAATTATTTCTGGGATGTGGTCCTTCAGTACGATGGGAGCAACATAGGCCTGGCCTGGTTCTGCGGGGCGAGGGTCCTGGAAGGCAGGACCTGTGTGCCTGGCGGGAGGCTGGCGCTACAGACTGCCCGCCCGCCGGTCGACGAGGAGGCGGACGCTTGGAGGACGAAGGCAAACAACTCCAGTAGAATTCGGTCGGGCGTGTTCCCCTACAGGGGGAGTTTGGGCGAGAACAAAATGCCCCAAACATATATTCCAAGATGCTCAAAAATAGTCAAAAAATGTCCCCCCACTATGTTTTGACTATGTCTGAATTTTCCTCCTGTAAAAAGGACAGGTCCGACTTAACAGCAGATCCACCGGACTGTAGAACCGTGCCATGCACGCGCCAATTAGATGCAACAGTTTGGATGGATGAGGAGCAGCCTGCACACATATAAACTTGTGGAGGTCCGTGCGAATTTCTGGGATCAGAGCCACAACCCCCTCCCTGGCGCGCGGAGCGCGCCATGGGCGGCGACGGAGACGCCGCCGAGGGGCTCCGGCGGAGTTCCCAGAACTCTGCGAGGAGCTCCGAAAGTCTGTGCTTTGCTATGTTTCCTTCGTCGATGTGCACAACAGCGGAGCGCTCCAGAAGCGCCCCGCACGGCTTTTCAGTCCAGCCAGCTGCACGACCAGGTGACACCCTGTCCAATCGCACTGCCTCACTTCGAGGGCCTCCTTATTTCTCAATTTCTGGACCCATCGGTTGACGTTCCTGCTGGATCCAGCCCCTTCAGCGCAAATCAGATACAACAGGTGGAAACACAAGCGGAGAGCGAGGATGAGAAAGAAGAGAAGAGGAACAACGGCACGATCGCATCGAGCGTCGTCGGAAAGGAAAGGGCACCGCACAGCCTCACAGTCCAGCCATCTGCACAACAAGGTGACACCCTGCCCACTCGCGTTGACTCACTCCGAAGAGCGCATTGCTTTTTTTCAATATCTGGACCCGTCGGTTTACGTTCCCGCTGTATCCCGCTTCTCCGCGCACAGACATGGCAATCCGAAGCTAGTTGCGAGGGAACTTCGCATGCTGGTCAGGAGTCAGCCTCCAGAATACATTTCGAACTGGTTGGGTTAGGGAACTACTTTCCGCTAAGCTGCCCGAAACGCCGGCCGACGAGCTTGCCACGTCCTGCCCTCTCCGCATCGCGTGAGAGAACACAGGTGCTCCTCACCCATGCTCCCCTTGTGCCCAGATAGTTGGATACAATATTGTTGCTGGTCGCGGTCGGGAGCGACCGATCGACACTCTAAATCGGTCGTGGCCGATCGGTCGCGATTGATTTTGATGCAAATCCGTCGCGACGGAGACGGGAATTTGAAACAAAATCGGTAGAGATCAATCTCGTCGGTCGCCACTGGAAAATTCCAGCGTACAATGATTAGGGCACGCGAAGGCGTGAAACAACGCTTGTGCTGTCCAGCTAGAACCGTGTAGTTGCTATGGTCTCTCCCTCGCACTCGTGCCAACTACTGGCGTGCCCCCGCCCCCCCATTCCCCCTAAGGGCAGGCCCTCCGCGGTCTCTAAAGTAGCCCCCACCGTTCTACTACGCCGACTGCGACTTCAGCAGCCGAGGCACGACCTCGACTTCGACTTGCATCTTCAATACTAGGATACGGCATTCCTGTTATTCTACTACAGGCGTGCTGCTATAATGACTACAACTCGACCTCCATCCTGCGACACGTGCGTTGCACTACCATTGAGGCGTTACTCGCGAAATGGCACCGCGACCACATCTTGACGTGCTCGAAACAGCAGTGGGTCGAAAACGACGGAGAGACTTGCCATCCGACGTGGGGTCATTGGGTTTGTGTGCGCCAGCATGTGTTTGTGCGTGCATGCGCGCTTTTGCACATACGCGTCCAGATGCGGAACTCTGACCAAACGCACACGCTTGAGCCATGTCTTACAATCCGACAGGAGACCTGTGGCAAAGAGGAAAAGCGACGACGACGACGACGACGACAACGACGACGAGACGACACGACGGGCGGCGCGGAGGGAGGAGAGGAGGGGGGGGAGGCAAGGGAAGGTCGGGCGTTGGCAGAAGTGGGTTTCGTGGGACCTGGTCTAGTGACCTGTACCGGGGATGCCCCCGCCGTCCCATTCCACTGACCGGAATTGCCGTCTACGGCAAGTGACTCCAATCCATGTTTTGGGCTTCGGGGCCCTATCATCGGAAGCGGCCAAGAGGGGGGGGTCCAAGGGGGGGGGGGGTGCAAATCATGACCGGCGGCATGTGCGCGGCCCAGCGGGGGGGCCAGGGACGCAATGCAACAAGAAGAGGCGCCATGAACTCTGGGAAAACATCATGGCCCCCGCTATGATATCCTTCCCCCCTTTGAGGGATGAAAAAACGGCCCTACCCTGGGTTACAAGTGCGTGGTCTGTAAACCTCCTGGGAACCCCCAAAGCCTAGAGCCGCCAGGACGCCGCACACCACGCAGGGTTTACCCAGTCAGCCCACAGGAGTTTCAGCGCACAGCGCCTCGCAAACCAGGGCAGGGGCGTTTTTTTCTGCCCTTGACCCCTAGTCATCACCCCCCTCTCTGCCGCCCCCGATCTACCCGCGAAGGGCGGGGCCACCGCCTGCCCGCCGGGCGCCGTGCGCGGGCAGCCGTGCGGCCCAGGAGAGCCCCGCGAGCTCCGGGCCCGCGAGGCCCGCCGGGCCCGCGGCGCCGAAAGACCGCGCGCGACCCCCCCCCCGGTGGGGAGGCAGCGGGGCAGCAGGCTTCTCCTCGGCGGCGCGGCCGCCCGCGCGCGCCAGCAAAGGGGCAACGACGGGGGGGGAACTGGCATGGGGGGGGGGGGACGCATCGACCTGGGCATGGGGGGGGACTGGCATGGGGGGGGCGACTGGCATAGGGGGATAGAGATCGGCGTTCGGACCCCCGAGAGAGTGAGTCCGCACCCTCCTGGGCAGGCTGGAGAGCTACATCGGGCCCCCAGCGGCGATCCCTGGGCGGGTGGGGGTCGATGCATCAACCCTGTGCCTGGCCCCCCCCCCTGCCGCTGCCCCCGACCAGCACACCCACCAAGGCCAGGCGGTGCGCGCGTGCCGTCGCCGCCACCCAGACCGTGCCAGGCCCGGGAGGCACCTCCAGGGGCTCCGCGCCTCGGAGGGCCGTCCCGCCGGCGGGGCCGCGGCCGCCGTCGCCGCAGCGGCCTCCGCCGCCCCCTCAGCCTCAACCGGGGGCGCCCTTGGAGGTAGGGCCGCTCGCCTGTGTTCACACACGCACGCACGCACTCGCACATGGACCAGATTCCCACACAGCCCCAGCCACGCTTGACCACGCACCCAGACACTCATCAGTGTAAGCGTGCACTGTCTGCACCAGCGCGCAGATCCCCCAGCCATCTGGGCGCAGCTGCATGCATCATCATACCAGATCGACGTGTGCACCCGAATACGTGTACGGATGAGGCAGAGAAGGGATGAGCGTAGCACTGTGTGGATAACGTGGGACCAGAAGTTTGGCTCCTCCATGACTGGAGGCGATAGAGAACACGGATTAGGAGGAAGCTCGAGGCACCCGATGATCATGGGAGAAGCAGGAAGCACGTTAGAGTGCCTGGCATGCTCGCAGATACCACGGGGCAGCTGCCGCAAACAACACCCACCTGGGCCGAGATGGCTAGCATCAGAAGAGGGATGCAGCTGGTGTCGCACCTCCAAGCTGACTGAAATGGGAGCGTGCGCGGAATCCGGTCTTGCAAAACATTGGAATCGGGGGAAGATGAACGGCGGGAAACGCCCGTATACCTAAGAATGCTTTTGGTTTGGAGGCTATTATGCGCAACGGTACGGAGACCAATATCGAGACCTGGCGAGTGGCGCGACGGGTCAGGATCGACTCGAATGCTAGCATCCAGTCTTGAAGTCCGACGCAAACGCGCACACGGATACGCACGCTCGCAAATGCGCCACGTGTACAACACACACAGACACAGACACAGACAAGGACACAGACATAGGCCCAGAGACAGAGTCAGACACAGACGCAGACACCGACACAGACATCGACACAGACACAGACACAGACACAGGCAAAGACACTGATACAGACACTGACACTGAAACAGACACACACACAGACACACAGACACATAGACACACAGACACACACACACACGCACACACACATGCGCGCACTGACACACACACACACACGCACACGCACACACATACACACGCACACACAGACACACACACACACACACGCGCGCGCACACACGCACAGCACACACGCACGCACGCACGCACGCACGCACACACGCACACACGCACACACGCACACACGCACACACGCACACACGCACACACGCATACATGCACACACGCACACACGCACACACGCAAACACCCACACACATACACACGCACACGCAGACACACAGACACACAGACACAGAATCACACACACACACACATTCGCACGCACGCACGCACACACGCACACACGCACACACGCACGCACGCACGCACGCACGCACGCACGCTCGCACGCACGCACACACACGCACGCACGCACGCACGCACACACGCACACAGCACACGCAGACGCGCACAAACGCACCCACGCACCCACGCACCCACGCACACACGCACACACGCACCCACGCACACACGCACACACGCACACAGGCACACAGGCACACACGCACACACGCACACACAGACACACAGACACACAGACACACAGACACACACACACATATGCACACACATACACACACACACACGCACACGCACACGCACACGCACACGCACACGCACACGCACACGCACACGCACACACACACACACCGACACCCACATCCACATCCACACCCACACCCACATCCACACCCACACCCACAAACACACACACCACACACCACACACACAGACCAACACACACACACACACCACACACACACACACCACACACACCACACACACAACACACACACACACCACACACACACACGACATACACCACACACACACACATACACACGCACACTTTTTGCGTCGGCAGCTGGGCAATGGGTGACTGCTCTGGCGATAGGGCATCAGTAGGGCGTGCTAGATGCAAATTTGGCCGCGGGGCACGTGAGGTAAGGAGAACACCCCGGCGGTTGGGAGCCTGTGGTGATGCTGGTCGAACGCGGTTGGTGGTGGGCTGCTGGTTGGTATGGGTCGGTGTTGCGTGTGGTGTTGCTGGTCGGTCGAGGTTGGGGGTGGGCTGCTGGAAGGTATGGGTCGGTGCTGCTTGTGGTGTTGCTGGGTCGGTTCTGCCCCTTCCTCCCCCTCCATGGGCGGCCACAGGCGGCCGCCCGGCCAGCGCGGCGCTGGTTTCGAGCGCCGCGGCCTGCACCAGCGCGGACGCGCTGGTGTTGGTGCCGCTCGTGCTCTTAACTCTCGTGCTGCTGCTCTCCCTCGTACGGCTCGCCAAAGTGCTGTTCGGAAAGCTGCTGCTGGTGTCAATCGTTCTCGTAGATCTCGTGCTGCAGCTCTCGTACGGCTCGCCCACGTGCTGGTTGGACAATTGCTGTTAGTTTCGGTCGTGCTTGAAACACCCGTGGTGCTGCTCTCCCTCGTACGGCTCGCCCACGTGCTGGTCGGAAGCCAGCTGCTGGTGTCGGTGGTGCTCTTCGCTCTCGTGGTGCTGCTCTCCCTCGTGCGGCTCGCCCCCGTGCTGGCCAGACAAGGTGCTGCTGGTGTCGGCCGTGCTCGTAGCTCGCGTGATGCGGCTCTCCCTCGTGCGGCTCGCCCACGTGCTGGTCGGAAAGCTGCTGCTGGTGTCGGTCGTGCTCAAGACACTTGTGTTGCTGCTTCTCCTCGTACGGCTCGCCCACGTGCTGGTCGGAAAGCTGCTGCTGGTGTCGGTGGTGCTCGAAACTCTCGTGCTGCTGCTCTCCCTCGTACGGCTCGCCCACGGGCTGGTCGGAAAGCTGCTGCTGGTGTCGATCGTGCTCGTATCTCTCGTGGTGTTGCTCTCCCTCGTGCGGCTCGCCCACGTGCTGGTCGGAAAGCTGCTGCTGGTATCGGTCGTGCTCGTAACTCTCGTGGTGCTGCTCTCCCTCGTACGGCTCGCCCACGTGCTGGTCGGAAGCCAGCTGCTGGTGTCGGTGGTGCTCTTCGCTCTCGTGGTGCTGCTCTCCCTCGCTCGGCTGGCACGTGCTGGTCGGGAAGCTGCTGCTGGTATCGGTCGTGCTCGTAACACTCGTGGTGCTGCTCTCCCTCGTACGGCTCGCCCACGCGCTGGTCGGACAAGGTGCTGCTGGTGTCGGTGGTGATCGTAACTCCCGTGGTGCTGCTCTCCCTCGTACGGCTCGCCCACGTGCTGGTCGGACAGCTTCTTCTGGTGTCGGTCGTGCTCGTAACTCTCGTGGTGCTGCTCTCCCTCGTACAGTTTGCCCACGTGCTGGCCAGACAAGGTGCTGCTGGTGTCGGCCGTGCTCGTAGCTCGCGTGATGCGGCTCTCCTCGTGCGGCTCGCCCACGTGCTGGTCGGGAAGCTGCTGCTGGTGTCGGCCGTGCTCGTAGCTCGCGTGATGCGGCTCTCCCTCGTACGGCTCGCCCACGTGCTGGTCGGAAAACTGCTGCTGGTATCGGTAGTGCGCGCAACTCTCGTGGTACTGCTCTCCCTGGTACGGCTCGCCCACGCGCTGGTCGGACAAGGTGCTGCTGGTGTCGGTGGTGATCGTAACTCTAGTGCTGCTGCTTTCCCTCGTTCGGCTGGCACGCGCTGGTCGGGAAGCTGCTGCTGGTGTCGGTCGTGCTCGTAACTCTCGTGGTGCTGCTCTCCCTCGTGCGGCTCGCCCACGTGCTGGCCAGACAAGGTGCTGCTGGTGTCGGCCGTGCTCGTAGCTCGCGTGATGCGGCTCTCCCTCGTGCGGCTCGCCCACGTGCTGGTCGGAAAGCTGCTGCTGGTGTCGGTCGTGCTCAAGGCACTTGTGTTGCTGCTTCTCCTCGTACAGCTCGCCCACGTGCTGGTCGGAAAGCTGCTGCTGGTGTCGGTGGTGCTCGAAACTCTCGTGCTGCTGCTCTCCCTCGTACGGCTCGCCCACGGGCTGGTCGGAAAGCTGCTGATGGTGTCGGTCGTGCTCGTAACTCTCGTGCTGCTGCTCTCCCTCGTGCGGCTCTCCCCCGTGCTGGCCAGACAAGGTGCTGCTGGTATCGGTTGTGCGCGCAACTCTCGTGGTACTGCTCTCCCTGGTACGGCTCGCCCACGCGCTGGTCGGACAACTGCTGCTGGAGTCGGTCGGTCGTTCTCGTGACTCTCGTGGTGTTGCGCTCCCTCGTACGGCTCGCCCACGTGCTGGTCGGAAAGCTGCTGCTGGTGTCGGTCGTGCTCGTACCTCTCGTGGTGCTGCTCGCCGGAATGCTGGCATCCGTGCTCTCGGCTCTACCGGCGAGGGTCCGTTGGCCATGATGTGATGGCGAGGATGCTGGGGCCAGTGCGCCTCGATATACAGGCGAGGATGCAGGCAGCGAGGATCCAGGCTGTGCTCATGGGGATGCTGGCGTCGGCGCTCTCGGCAGCGCTGGCGGGGATGCTGGCGTCGGTGCTCCTGGCTGCGCTGGGGAAGCTTCTGGCGTCGGCGCTCCGTGCCGAGCTGGCGGGGATGCTGACGTCGGTGCTCCACGCTGGGCTGGCGAGGATGCTGGCGTCGGTGCTCCCCGCAATGGCTGCCATGGCGGGGCCGGTGGCACCGGCCAGCACCAGGCCAGGCGGCCCGCCCGGCACCGTCACCGCCGCGGCGGCGGCGGCCGCCGCACGGGAGCGGGCGGCCGCCGCGGTCCACAGGCCAGCGGCAGCCGCCGCGGCGGGCAGCCTCGGCGGCAGCGCCCGCAGTGCCCGCGGCACACCTGGCGCCGGCAGCGTGCTCGGCGGCGCCAGCGCGGCCCCCAGCGCACGGGGCGCTGGCGGCGCCAGCGGTGGCCGAGGCGCCCGCGGCGCCGGCAGCGAGCACCGCGCGCTCCCAGGCGAGCCGCCGCTGCCGCCGCCCCCGCGCCGTCCGAGTCTCCACGCTGGCCCGGCGGCAGCGCGGCAGGGCCGCGCCGCCCAGGCCACGCCGGCCAACCGTGAGCCCCGACCCCAGGGGAAGGAACGCCCCTGGGCGATTGCTTGAGCCAGAGGGGCGACGGTCCCACAAAAACAAACACACAACACACACACAAACACACACGCACACACACACACACACGCACACGCACACGCACGCATACGCTCACGCACACGCACATGCACACGCACACGCACACGCACACGCACACGCACACGCACACGCACACGCACACGCACACGCACACGCACACCCACACACACACACGCACGCACGCACGCACGCACACACACACAAACTCACACACGCACACACACACAGACGCATGCACCGCATGCGTACGCATTGCTCCAATAACTTCCACATGTGCTACGTAAGCATGTCACGTAAGCAGGGCGAGCAAAGCCCAATCCAGAGAACATCGTTGGCATATGCTACACGCAGTCACTCGCTCGCGCCCTGCATTCTCGACATGACCTTCACCCACATCAGATCATCCGTGCAAAATCGTGACAGCCAGGGCAAAGCCATTATTCCCCTCGCCCTGCCACCTATCTCCTTCAAGCGCGAGATTCAGCAGGCCGCGCATGCTCTTTTCATAAGAAAGCAGTAAGCCATTGCCAGCAGACACCGACCAACATCCAGGAAACAAATCGATCGCTATCACAGAGCAGGCCGCATATAACCAACCGTGCAGGGTGCTTTAGCAGATCGGCAATGTGACAAGCGACGAGCACTACAGAAGACACAAATGGCTCGGACAATAAAGCTATGGTTGAGGGCATTCGCTATGAAGCATGGCGCCACCTATGCCCACTATCACCAACCTACTTGAATATCCACTGTGCTGGCTACGGTCCTCTGCGACTCCTGGCAATGCTGGCCATGCCGCGCAATTCCAGGGCCAGTGAAAAGATAAGATGAGGAGGAATAGGAGGAAGGCAGGAGAATGCAGCCTAATCTGCGTTGATATTCGCGGCTGCAGGCGGGGCAGCTTCTGGAACAGACGCCTCCTTCTGCCGCTTGGCGGCGCCAGCCTTCTCCTGCCGCTTTCGCTTCTTCTGGATCCTCTGCCATTTTGCGTCCACTATCTTCTGTATCTCGGCGGCGTCGTCGTCGTAGTCAAGCTGCTGCCCAAGGGCGAGGTCTTTGTGAGCCTGCTCCCAATTGCACAAGCCGCGGTGAGCTCTCCCCCGGATCCGATACGCCTTGCCGCTGTCTGGGTTGATTTCGATAGCAGCCGTGCAGTCGGCGATGCACGCGTTCGGTCGCTTCAGCTTCAGCAGGATCTCCGCGCGTTTTGCGTATATCATGGCTGTGGGGTTGCCGAACTTCATGTACTCCACGTACTTCTCCAGCGCCTCCCAGGGGCGGAGTTGACTCAAAGGAGTTCCTCCGTGAGCTACGGGTCACATCCTCAGCGCGCAAGGAAGCTAATGCGGGATGACGATTATTAAACAAATGAAAGAGAACGATAAAAAACTTGGTTTTCTGCAATTTCTGCATAACTCTCTGACTGGAGGAGAACGATGTTTTTTTATTGTCCAGCCCGCGGCCGTGTTGTTCTAATCGTCATCCCGGGCGCCGCCGCGAGAACACGACCCCCGCTCATTTATTAATCGTCATCCTCCATTACCGCACCTCCCGACACAGCTTCCGACTCGTCCGCACCATCCAGCGCATCCCCTGACTCTTGCGATCCATCCGGAGCTGGCGATGCCGCGCGGGCGTTTCTCGCAGGATCGACGCCCGGGCGCCCCGAAAAGATGTTAGACATGTAATCAGACGCCCCCAGGAGCTTAGTGGGCCCTGGAAACGACAAAGCCGTTTTTGTTACCGGTTCCGTTTTGCCTTATTTTTCTGGTTCCGACGCCGTTTGTTTACCGGCTCCGACGCCGTTTTTTGACCAGTTCCGGCTCTGGTCCCAATCCTGGAGCCGTTTTTGTTGCCGTTTCCGGTCTCCGTTTTTCTGCCATTTCCATTTTCAAGGGGCATTTTTTTGGAAACGGTGAAAAACGGCCCTGCCGTTTCCAGGGCCCACAAAGCGCAGGAGGTCCCGCGAGGTCCCCCGACACGCGCCCCCAGAGGCCCCCCTAAGATGTGGAAGCCGGGCGAGGGCTGGCAGATCCGTGGCTGCTAACATGGTCTCCCCGGAGGGCAGAAAAAGCACACTCCCCGAGTAACACTCGGCGCGCCAAATAGTACTCCAGGTCTGCAGGTACCGTTTCACCGATCCCCATCCCCAGCGGCGTGGCCTGGGCCCCACTGGCCGATTCGCCCCACCAGACGGGGATGCAGGTCGCTTCCTTCAGCTTTTGAGGGGCGTATCCCCAGCTGGGGGATGGTAATCTGGTGGGGGTCTCGAAGGGGATGGGGATGGGGATGGGGATGGGGATGGGGATTGGTTACTCCAGATTTCGTAATAAAAGGGAGGGTGTCTGGACCCTCCAAGACAAGCCATTTCAGGCCTCCCCCGTGGGAGAACCCTCCAAAACATCGTCCCCAGACCCACCAGGCCCTCCAAGATAGCCTGGAAGAGACCCCCCCCCGAAATGAGACCCCCTCCCTTTATTACGAAATCTGGAGTATACAGGGGCTGCTTCATTCCCGGAAGAGCAGAAAACAAGTTCCCGGAGCTCCGTTTTGGCAGCCACGGGCTTGCCAGCCGCCTGGCTTCCGAGGGATGTTTCTAAGGGGCCCCAGCGTGCTCGAAGAGGCCCCCAAGGAACCACCAGAGGCGCCACCAGCGCAGGCGCACGAGGCAGCAAATGTGCCAGCCGATTCTGAGGGGGCCCAGGGACACACAAATAAATAGACACGAATCCCAGGATTCCCCATCTTCTCCCACATTTTCGGGGTCCTCGTCTTCCCCCCCCCCACTTCCCATAGTTTCCCAGCAGTGTCCTGGGAATCGACGATTCGTTGTGTCAGTGTTTCCTTCCCTCCTGGTATTTTTTTCTTGGTTTTTCCCCTCCTGACACTCATCCGCCCTGCGGGCCCTGGAGGCTCCAAGACCCTCAGGGGCCCACCGGGCCCCCAAGAGGCACCCCCTCTGAACCCCCCCCCCGCGGGAGGAGCCCCTGCGCCCTGCACCGACCGGCGGATGGAGGCGGAGCGAGGAGGAAGAGCGAGGCTCCAAGAGGCTCCAAGACCCTCTGAGGCCCACTGGGCCCCAAGAGGCCCCTCTAAGCCCCCCCCCCTCGGGAGGAGCCCCTGCGCCCTGCACCGACCGGCGGAGGGAGGCAGAGCGAGGAGGAAGAGCGAGGCTCAGCTCTGCGCGCTGGCGCCTGTCACGAAGTCCGCCAGTCCGCCAGCCTCGTCGTCTCGGGGACTTCCGTGCAGACGGAAGCGCACGCACCGGCTCGAATCTGACAAGCGGCTGCTGGCCGGCAGCCACGAAATCGACGAGAGTGTTCGGTACGCCAACCCCCTTGCCCGCACCCCCTCGCCCCGTCCAAAGTCCGCCCCTCCCCCCGCCCTCCCCTTTTCCCTGTGAAGACGGCCGTGGGCCTTCTCCAAGTCGTTTGCATCCAGCGCCTCCATTGCCGCCTCCTTTGCCGCGTGCTGAGCGTCCATCTGATCGTCGGTGAGCTCCACCTTCGGGGGTCGGCATCTTCAGAAGACAGTTGCAGACACTAGGGCTGGCCAACCGCATCTTGGGCCCTCACCATCTACCCGCAATCATTCCTCCCCTCCTCCTGCAATCTTCCTCTTCACTCCCCTCTTCCTTGTCCTCTTCCTCCTTCTCCCTCTCTCTATCTCTCTTTCTCTCTCTCTCTGTCTCTCTGTCTCATGCTTTGTTTTCATTCCTCCTCCTGCTCCTGCTCCTGCTTGCTGCTTCCATTCCCCCCGTGTCTTAGGACGGGGAAGCTCAAAAGGATGAGGGATACGCAAGGGAGAATGACAATGACGTAAACGAGGAGGAAGAGGAGAAGGAGGAACATATGCAGGAGGAAACGCAGACATATGGGACGAGGCGGAGGAAGACGAGAAAGCAGGGAGAGAGGGAGGGAAAGAGATGAGGAGGACGAGGACGATGGAGCGGAGGGAAGGGTGGATCCAGGACGGGCCTGTCCACCTGTGGTGTCCGCGGAATCTCAGCTGTTTAGAAGACGCACTGACTCGGGTCAATGCACGCCCAGGTCAATCGGGCTGCAAGACCCTGCGCGCGCCCTGACCCGGGTCGGTGCAGCCCTGGCTCAGCGGGCTCCTGCAAAGGTCCTTCGGGGCTCTGACCGACCCCTGTTTGCGTCGACCCCCGTCTTGAGGCTCGACCCCCGTCTTGGCCGGCGATTCCCTCCTCCTCCTCCTTCTCCTCCTCCGCCTCCTCCTCCTCCTCTTCCTCCTCTTCCTCTTCCTCCTCCGCCTCCTGCGCCTCCTCCTCCCCCTCCTCCTCCTCCTCCTCCTCCTCCTCCTCCTCCTCCCCCTCCTCCTCCTCCTCCTCCTCCTCCTCCACCTGCTCGCTGGGGATGACGGGGGGGAACGGCGGCTTGTCGTCTGGGAGCCGCAGCGGGTCGGCCTCGTCGGGCACGTCCTCCTCTCCGTCCTCCTGAGGCAGGCGAGGGCCCGGCTTCCCAGACATGCGATGCACTGCTTTTGCAACACGGGGTCCCCGGAAGCTCCCACCCTCTCCCCGGGGCCGGTCCTTCATCCCGAGTCGTCCCTTGACGGCCCTGGGGCCCAGCGAGAGCCCCCAGAGGCCGAACACGGCCGAGGACCTCTCGTCTTGATTTTTGTCACGACGCGAGGACTTCTGGGTTGCGTTGTCTGGAGGGGGCGTCGGCGGCATTGTGTCCAGGACGGCCCGCCGAGAAAGACCGAGCCCTCCCGTCGGGGCGCGCGGGGCCAGGCACGGGCCGATCGCACGAGAGGCGCTGCGGCCGCGAGCGCAGGTCTGCGAGCATCGGGTGCACAACACGTCGCGCGACTCGAGCGGCTTGGAGCATGCCCTGAGAGGCAGTTGGCGGCGCGCACAAGGGTAGGGGGAGGGGGGAGGGCTTCGTAGAAGGAGGATGCGTCTCAGAAGGCGCCGGCCTTACATCTACAGGCAAGATCCAAGCCCTCTAAAGAGCAGGGGTGTTTCTGGGAAGCCTTCCCCCCTCCGTAGTGCACAATACATCGCGCGAGTCGAGCAGCTTGGAGCATGCCCTGAGAGGCAGTTGGTGGCGCGCACAAGGGGGTATAGGGGGCAGGGGGAAGGCTTTTCGGAAGGAGGCCGCTTCTCCTTAGGTGGCGCAGGCCTCACATCTACAGACGAGGCCCGTGTCTTCTAAGGAGCAGGTGTGCTTCTAAGAAGCCTTCCCCTCTCCCCCTACCCCTCTCTGCGCGTGGCCGAGGGCAGATCCTCAGTCATTATTTCGATGAGCTTCGAGTTCGCAAGATATCTAAGCCCTCGCCAGACGTAGAAAGCGGCCGCTAAAAAGCGCATGACGTCATTATGTGAGGGCGCAGACGCTCACAACGCTTACTGGAGAACCTGTCGATTTAAGGCCATCGACAGGCCATTGTCATCTAAGCCCCGCTCCTCATCTTCTTCCTCTGCCGCTGCATCCCCGAACGGCTTGGTCGGCAGCGTGGCGCCAATCTTGATCAAGAAGTCCTTGAAAAACTGCAGATCTGGCTTGTGGATGATCGACGGGTCCGCCTCCATATTCTCGACGAAGGTCTCCAGCGCCATGAGCTGCAGAGCGCCCAACTCCTCCACCTTCTCCGACATCTGTGGGCTCGCCGGACCACAGGTGCGAGACAGGGAGGCTGCCGAGGGGAGCCGAGCGTGGAGGCTGGACGTGCGAAGAGCGGGGCCGGCCGGCGTCGGGGGCTGTGCTGCGCAACGGCCCAGGAGGAGCAGCCGGTCCCCGGGGACGGGGGCGAGAGACCCGCGTGGGGCCCACGCCACCGTGAGGTCGTGACGCCAGGACTCTGGGGAGCGGGGGGGTGAGCACTCGCGGGCTGCCCGGGGGTGGGGCGCAGGGGCGCCGGCGGGGGAGGGGGGAGAGGGGGGGATGCAGAAGCTGGCGCGCGCTCGCGCCAGCTCTGACATCCTGCCCCGCCCTCTGATCCCCTCTCGCTGCGCTGATTGTTCCTCGATCCGCACACGCGTGTCACAGCGGACCTGGAACTGCAAACAAGACCCCATAATGCTGTGCGGCGCACGCTTGAAAAAAAAGGGGAGCTGTGTACATCTGAGGAGGAGGAGGAGGAGGAGGAGGAGGAGGAGGAGGAGGAGGAGGAGGAGGTGGCGGAGGAGGAGGAGGAGGAGGTGGCGGATGAGCAGGAGGAAAAGGAGGAGCATCACGAAGGCGGAGCAAGGGGACGATCAGCAGCAGCGTGGACCAGTGGAAGGCGGAGGAGGGGAAACGATGGGGGGACAATCATGAGGAAAGACTCGGCTCCAGAAAGGTGGCCCGCGCTGCGGCGAACGCATCATCCTGAGCGACGGGGGAGCCGAGCCGCGACCCTAAAACGAGGCCCCCGCTGCAGCAGGAACACAACGTTGGAAGGACAGAGAACGCTCGGATAGGAAATACAGTCGGGGCCCTGAAGAAGGAACCCTGTTCGTTGGGGAGGGGCTCCGTCTTCCTTGATTGTTTCAAAGTTTGCCTCGGGTTTTCCTGAGGTTTTCCATGGGCAATCGAGGTTTAAATTATAGGAAAAAGGGGCCTCGTTCCTTGTTTAGGGTTCCTTAGGTCAATGCCCCGACTGTACACGTACGGCCACACCTAGGACCGAAGAACACTCTGCAAGGACAGGAGACCCTCCGCGGGCCCAAACATCCCAAACCATACGATCACCGAGGGTACCCTTCCCGAGGATCTACAAGCACATCCAACAACCATGAAGAACACGAGAGTTCCCTCCCAAAACCGACCTCGATCTTATGTCTCGGTCCGACCGTAATAATGATACCGCAGAACAGCCAAATCTTTTTTTAGGGGTATAAGGCTATGGGGCTATCGGGCTGAAGGGCTATAAGGCTATGGGGCTATGGGGCTATAGGGCTACAAGGCTATAGGGTTATAGGGCTGTAGGGCTACAGGGCTATAGGGCTATAGTGCTATGGGTCTGTAGGGCTATAGGGCTATAGGCCTATTGGGCAATAGGGCAATGGGGCATTAAGGCTATAGGGCTGTAAGGCTATGGTTGTAAAGCCCTGGGGCTAAAGGGCTATAGGGAATCTGAGCTATAGGGCTATAGGGCTATGGGGTTATAAGGATATAGAACTATAGGGCTATATTGCTATATGACTATAGGGCTATAAGGCAACCAGGCACCCGGGCACCCGGGCATCTGGGCACCCGGGCACCCGGGCACCCCCGGGCACCTGGGTTCCCGGGCACCCGGCCGGGCCACCGAAATCGGCGGCACACCTCACCTAACCATATGAGTCCGCTAGGACCCCTTCAGAGGCAAGCTCTGATTGGGGAAATACTGATGCCTCGGTCCGACCGTAAGATAAAATACGAACTAACTCGCCCGCAATACTGAGATGCATATTGGGTTTGTTAAGGCTTATGAGGTTTAGCTAAAAAGTTTAGCGCGCTTATAAAGTTTATCATACGTTTATCATCAACGGACTTATAAACGCTATAAGCGTTTAGCCGTCGAGATATGCAAACTATGAGACTACTGCTTCTCATATTTATCCCTCCTTCTCCTGCGCAAACGTAGGTTGCACAACATAGGTTGCACCACGCCACACATGCATCGATGCGCCATAGGTTGCACCAAATCGGATTCGCCACATAGGTTGCGCCGCACAGGTTGCACCACATAGGTTCCCCCACACAGGTTGCACCACGTAGGTTTCCCCACGTAGGTTGCGCCACAAGGATGAACCACATAGGTTACAGCACAACATGTGTTGCACCACTTGATATGAGCTAAACTTCAGTTTTCAACGCCTTCGGCGCGGCGCCGCCGCCCCATGCCGCCTTCGGCCTCGATGTCGGCATGTCTTTGATCGCTTTAGACGCGGGGAGGGAGGGGGAGGAGGAGGAGGAGGAGGAGGAGGAGCAGGAGGAGGGGCAAGAGGAGGGGCAGGAGGAGGGGGAGGAGCAGCAGGAGCAGGACAACGAGAAGGAAAAGCAGGAGGATGAAGGAGAATCGGAGCAGGCATGCCTTCCTTCCTCATTTCTAATCCTCCTCCTCCTGTTCGTTGCCTTCAGCAGCAATGGCTTAAACGTGCGCGTTCGCCGAGGCATCGTTTCTGAATGGGCTGTGCGGCGGCGCGCGCAGCGTATACGAATGGTTTTTTTCTTTTCCTGAGCGCAACGCGTCACCAAATCCCATCATTGAAACCCTAATGGCAGAATGGTGCCGGCGGTGCCGTCTGCGTATACGCAGTGATCTACTGCAGCCAGGATGGCTTTAGTCTCCCAGCATTGCACTGGAGACTCAGACAGTTTCCGCACTGCCTTTGCAGCACCACGGATGCGTTGAGACAGCTCCATGACCTCCATCATAGAAACAGCTTCTCCACTGACCTCGACATGCAATTTCACGCGGGCGGCCAGTATGCCATCGGGGCCATTTAAAAGCACAACGTCCCCCTGAGTGCATAAGCCGAGCTGGCTGAAGCGAGAATCTTTGCCCACGCTGACTAGGACATCATCGCCTTCCAGCCCCAATGCGTCCATTATCAGCTGTCTGATTTTCTGAGTGGCTCTGCGTCCCTGCACCAAGCCGACATCGTAATCAAAGCTGTGGCGTTTCACTGCAGAAAGGTGGTGGGCAACGCACTCGCTCAGCAGCGACTTGCTGGATGATCCAGAGATGTTCGCCAATTCGGTGGCGTATCTCTTCGGCATCCTATGCTTCCTCTCAAGGACAAAGCAATTTAAGAGCCGCCCGTTTTCTCAAGTATCTCAGGGAGGTGGAGCAGCCACTGGCATTTGGGTGTCAAGCACTCATACCCGAACGCAGCAGTAAATGATTCCAAGAACTTGTGAACACAACCCAAAAGCCTCGCTGGGCTCACGTCGATCCGACTGGTTGCAACTACCAGCTCCGACAGCTGAACGCAAGCTATCATAGCGTCGCAAGCTGCGCCGGCTGCCCCCATGGGTCGCAGGACAGTCTGACTGAACAACATCAGCACGCCAAGGATAGACTATAAATCAGATGCCTGGCATTTTACGTGCTGTGCCTTTCTGTGTTTGTCTTTCTGATCAGCATTAACAATGCTATCTAAATGTGTGGCGTGAAATCGCCCAGGAAACGCCCAAGTTGCCAAGAACTCCGAGAATGACTCCCACACGCCGTTAAGCCCGGCAGATATGAAGGCTTCGAACGTAAGGTAAATCACCAGATTCACGACACCGTCGACGAAGAGCGCGTGCATATAGTCATGCATAAACACCTCTGTTGGGTTGACCAGCCTGTCCAACGCCCTATCGAGCAGCAAGCCCCGCTTAGCAAACGTTAAGCCGAATGCTTGCTGCAACAACACAAATTCACCATTGGGCAAGGTCAGCGACATGCGTTCCAGATACCTCGCGTTCGCGCGAGCCTCATGGTCCGCGGACGCCACGAGCTGATCGAGATGTATTGCGTTGCAGCACAACATTGCTGAACCGTCCTCGTCAACAACCCTAGAATCAGGTGTGGACATGCTCTTGCAAAGCATACAGAACTTGGACGCGCTGTCGCCCCTTGCTGGCCATGCAATTTTATGGGCGCCGCCGTCTTGCAACGCCGCGCCCGCTTTAGCAAACAGCCTGAAGCTATCCCCGTCTAAGTCAAGGGCCACGCCACCGTCTTTGACACGAAAGCCATCAGGCTTGAAAAAGCATTTGGTAGCCTCAGCGAATGCTTGGCTTAACCCAGCAGACAGAGAAGACACATATTGGGATAACCCAGTCATCAGCACAAACCAGCTCTCTTCGTGACTGAGCGCGCTCAGGCCGAATTCCAAGAAGCTCCAATATATAGATGGGAACTTTCTCTGGTTCGCTGCATCAACAGTCCGAACCGAACTGGTAACCGTGAACCGGCGGCTCCTGCAACCGAACCGCCCGAACCGGAGCCCGAACCGGCCCGGCTGAAACCGGACCGGGCGGTTCGAACCGAACCGGCCGGTCGAAACCAGCCCGTTCGGCATGCCCGAACCGGGTGGAACCGAACCGGGCCCCGGGACTCCCCACCGGCCCAAGAAAGCTCCCAGAAGAACCCCGGTGCCGGCACCCCCCCCCCCCCGCACCCCCCCCACCCCCCCCCCGGTGGCACGGCACCCCCCCCCCCCCCCCCCTCCCGGTGCCGCACCCCCCCCCCCGGTGCCGTCACCCCCCCCCCCGTGCCGGCACCCCCCCCCCGTGCCGGCGCCCCCCCCCCCGGTGCCGGCCCCCCCCCCCCGGTGCGGCCCCCCCGGTGCCGGCACCCCCCCCCCCGGTGCCAGGCACCCCCCCCCCCGGTGCCGCACCCCCCCCCCCCCGTGGCCGGCACCCCCCCCCCCCGGTGCCGGCCCCCCCCCCCCGGTGCCGGCCCCCCCCCCCCCCGGTGCCGGCACCCCCCCCCCCGGTGCCGGCATGCCGTGCAACCCCCCCCCCGGTGTGCCGGCACCCCCCCCCCCCCCAGGTGCCGGCCCCCCCCCCCCCCGTGCCGGCACCCCCCCCCCGGTGCCCCCCCCCCCCCGGCACCCTCCGGCCCAAAACCGGCCCCCCCAAAACCGGACCGTCCCGCGACCGCCGAACCGAACCGGCATAACCGACCCGGACTGGCAAAACCGGACCGACCAAAACCGGACCCCGCGCCGAAATCGAACCGCTGCAACCGAACCGGTCCGCCGCCAAACCGGCCCGAACCGGCCCGAACCGGACACTTCCTGTCGCTGGTGATAAGGGGCTCCCTGGGGTAACTTCGTCGGAATACAAAATCAAGTTCCAAGGCTTTTCTGGTGTCGACGGGCGAAGCATCAGCTGACGCCTCAAGAATGTCCGAAATGGCGCGCTCTCGTCGACAGCTGCCGCTAAGGATGCGAACGGGCAGGCGATGGGTATGCTAGTTGGCTCGTCCTCTGCGCGAATACACGTGAAGGATTGCAAAATGGGGCCGTATTCGCCGGCAGCTGTGGTAACGGCATCTCTCGCGGCCCGCATGGAGTTCCGATCTATGACCTCTGGGGTCCCATTGTGTCTCACGTCCTCCAGAATTGCAGCCAAAGCAGAAGCTGCGCAGTGAGGCTTGGCACGGCGGAACTCATTCAGCCTGCGCAGCTTAGCAGCCCGCGTCGGCTCCATCCGAAACGGCCCAAACCGCTGAGCGGCCCGATTGCATGCTGAGAGAAACGGGCCACGGATGGAACGCCAGCAACTGCTTCATAACAAGGGTGCACGGCTGACGACGTGACACGCATGCATGCTTTTTTTTCTTGAGACATGCCTCGCGACTCGCTCTCGACAGCCCGGTGCGTTAAGTGACGCAGCACGGAGTGCTTGTATGTTCGGCGGAAAGCCTGGCTATATGATAGGGGCACCATGCGCGTCTCATGACTTAGCCTGGGCGTCGTCGATCGCCTTCACTGCTGCAGCCCACGCCTCAGAGGTCGGCTTAGCCCCCCCCCCCCCCAAGCTTTGGAGCTCTCGGAGTACTGGCCCGACCGACCCACGCGAGGCTCGAGGCGTACTATGTGACATTATGCTCTTGTTACCTACACCATCCGCCCCGCCCGCCCATGGCCATCATTGCCAATCGGCGACCCGATCCCAAGACGACCGAGGTGAAGGCGTGGAACGCACAGGCAGCGGTGAAAGGGCAGGAGGGGAGGGTGGACTGATTGGGCTGATTGGACACAGCGGCCTTCGAGGGGGACTGGTTGGACAGATTGGACTGATTGGACACAGTGGCCTGCGATTGGGCACGGTGGGAGAGGGGACTGTTTGGACACAGTGGCGCCCGAGGACTTCGCTCGTGCGGAGGGGGGCCGACGGTTTAGATGAGGGTGCAGGGGGGGGGGGGGGGGGGGGGGCTGTTGAGTGGGTGGCCCAGGAGGTTTACGTCGCGGCCATCGGGCAGCGTGATCGCAAAACAAACCTACCAAATCTACGCCAAGAGTTCACGCGGAGGAGCTATAACACACCGTCCCTCCCGCCCCCAATAAGACCAGCAACGGCGTCACAACACGGTTGGGTGGAGGTAGCGTGGCTCGACGTACCCAAGACACCGAACGCATCGCCGTTGTTAGTTGAATCAAGCTTTTCAGGGCGGGTGGACACCGGCGCGCCAGCATGCCCGCCACCAATCCAGACGAAAGGGGTGCGATGGCTGGCGGTGATACGCAAAGCGTCATGCATCGCCACGCTTCCTGAAGGCACGGAAGCGCCTGACCTTGACGCTAGTGTAGATGACTCCCTGCTTGTAGGCCACTGGCGGGGGGTTCGAACCATCCTTTGGCAACGACGGCATGGCGCCCATGATTTTAGACTTCGGGATCGGCTTCAAGTCGGCATCCTTGGACTTACCCCCACCCTTTGCAGCCGCGGCAAGCTCGACCTTCGCAGCCTTCACGTGCTTGACGGCAGCAGCGGCTGCTGCTGGGCGTTTCCGTGGTGGCGCATCAGCCTTGACCTCCAGTGTCGTGGCTTCCTTTGCTGCGTCAGCAGCTCCCTTCTTAGCTAAGGTTTTCGCCTTCGTGTCTTCCTGCGCCTTGGCTTTGCGCTTCTCGAGGGCAAGGGTCGCAGCGCGGGTGTGGGGGCCCAAGTCCTCTTCACGCGGTCCGTCGTCATCATCGGCGGTGCCGCGCCCACCCTTGTCAGCGTCTTGCTCCTCAGCGTCTTGCAGCTCACGCTTCGCTTCTGGCCCATGCTTGACACGTGGCTCATGTTTGACGGCTGGTTGCACCTTTAGCGTCCCAGCAGCAGCGCGGTTGATAGCCAAGCTGCTTCGCTGCTCGGATGCCATGTGAGGCGCTGGAAGGCCCTGCGCAACCGCTTGGCTATTTCCTTGCGGTGGTCAAGCAACTTTTGCTGGCACTCGTAAAACAATCCCATCTCGTACGGGTCGTTCGGTGATGGAACGAGGGCCCCTGCTGGTGATGCCACATGTGCGTCGGCTGCGGGCGCTGTTGGGTCTTGGACGCGGGCGCAACCAAGCTCTTGTTTTGCTTCTTGGAACTTTACTTTAGCATCTGAGTCAATAGATGCTTTCAGCAGGCCTCTGGTGGAGCGCAGCGAGATCTTGTCACCGACTGCATTTATGCCCTTGAGCTCAATCTTGCTCGGCTGATCATCGCCCGGGTAGGCGGCCTGGAAGATGTCGGGCGGGAGCTCGAATAGCGAATCTGGGTAATCCATGATTCGAGTAAAGCCGAAATCCTTTTTCGCTATGATTTGAACGATGTTTTCAAGTCCATCAACATGCTGTGCACCTTCTTCGGCTCGGGTGGGGTGTCGTAATGCGTGACAAGCAACGTTGCTAAAGCCCACGTGTGCGTCTGCTCAGAAGGCTCAATACAGCCAACCGCCATACCGCATTCGACCATTGTCGTCATCTTGCGGTTCAGCGAAATCTTGGGGTCGTTGATCACTTCCCAGTCCGATTTTGTTAAGTACGACCACCACTCCTTAAGCAACTGCTTGTTGTTAGAGCCCTCGGGCTTGATGGAGCCGCTGCTCTTGGCGACCTTGGCGCCGATGATAAACATGATTCGTTCGGTGTGATCTGCGCCGTGCGGCTCACCCCTCAAAGCGTCGACGAGCTGGGTGGCCTCGGCTGGCCCGAAGCATTTGATGTTATTCAGCATGCTGATCAGAGTGTCGGCAAAGCTCTTCTGGAGCATGGCGTCTGAGCTGTTGTTGAGATCGCCGCGAGCCGTGAAACACATTCTTTCACGCTAGTGATCTCCTTTGCGAGTGAGCTGCAAGTGCAGTTTGAACTAGCCATTCGGCTTGAGTGCGTCGGCCACCGAGCCGCGACGTGGGTCAGCCTTCGGGCTCGAAGCGGTGCAAGCCAGCAATCTCGTGAGCCAAACTGTGACGGACGATATGCTCTGGCAAGCTACATGGGTGAGCTATGTGACGCCAAGCAAGAATGCTGAACTAAAGCGTGTGTAGTCGTGCAACCGCACGATGCTCAAACTGCGCTGCGAAATGCTTTGATGTGCACGACCTGCAATGTAGACGACGCGACGTAAGGAGAGTGAATGAGGCGAGGAGGACGACGACATATGCGAACTGAGAGGGCACTGCAAATAACACCATCGTCGTTTTCGTTGTCATCGCCCCACCGTCGCGTCGTCGTCGTTGTCATCGTAGTGTTTCTGTTTCTGTGACATCCTACATTGCCTTGTTACGTAATGTGGAGGGGGGTGGGTTGGGGGGTCACCCCATGAGATGAGCGAGAGAGGCCGCGGAGCCAGGAGAAGAGGGGGCGAGGTTGGCAAGGGGAACGACGACTGTTTGACAGTTGTGACCTGGCCTGAAATTCTAAGCGGAGGCTGAACTAAAGTGGTTTAGAAGCGACTGGTGCATTTCATAGCAGAACATAGCACAGCGTTGCATTCTGCGGTGCTGGCCGCACGCATGGCACAACATAGCCAATCGTCGGGCTAACATGTCATCGCGAAGTCATCCCCATCTCCTTCATCCTCCATCTCATCGTCATCCCTCTTCCACCCTCCTCCGCGTCATCCTCCTCCTCAGCCATATCATCCTCGCGCTGCCTTTCGTCCCGTATCACCCCCCTAAGTCCACGCCGCGGGATAGCGCGGCACGCGCCACGACGAGTGGAGGGGGGGCGAGGTGGGGGGGCACCCCATGAGAGGAGCGGGAGAGGCCGCGGAGCCAGGAGAAGAGGGAGGGAGGTGGGTGAAGAGAACGACGACATGCATCCCCCCCCCTCCCCCCCCCCCCCCCCCCCCCCCCCCCACTCCTCCTCAGCCCCATCCTAGGAGCTTCTCGCCCCTGCCCCCATCCATCCTCGTTCATCCCCCCGATCGTCATCATCTCATCCCCTCCTCCTCTCATCCTCATCTCACCATCCCTCGCCTCGTCCTCATCTCACCTCCCTCCGCCCGACCTACTCCTCATCCCCCATCTTCATCCTCGCTCCCCTCCATCATCCTTGCGTCCTCCCTCTCGTCCTCCTATCATCACACCTCCTCTCATCCTCATCTCACCACGCCCCCCCCCCCCCCCCCCCTTCCCCTTAACCTGCCCATCGCCCGCTCCCACCACCATATCTTCATTCCAGTTATCGTCATCCCACGTCTTCTCTCATATCCCCATCATGCCCTCCCCCCCCCCCATCATCATCATTGTTCTCGCCATCCGCCCCCTCCTCCCCCTCCTCCTCCTCCTCCTCCTCCTCCCCTCATTCGCCGTGTCCTCACTGCCCCTCATCGCCCTCAGTTTCATCCTCTTCGTCGCCATCGTCTCAGTCGCCATCTTGGCCCCCCTCCCCTGGGCACGCGCTGCAGGGTCGACGGCCGAAGGCCCGGGGGGCGCGCTGGAGGGCGCCGGGGGGGGCGCGAGGTGAGGGGCGAGCAGGGGGGGGAACAGGGCGAGGAGGAGGAGGGAGAAGAGGAGCAGGAGGAGGAGCAGGAGGAGGGGGAATGAGTGAAGGAGGAGCAGGAGGAGGAGGAGCTACCATGCGAGAGGGAGGGAGAGGGGGGAGGAGGAGGAGGAGGAGGAGGAGGAGGAGGAGGCGAAGGCAGAGGAGGGGGAGGATGGAGGGGGGAAGGGGGAGGATGAGGATGAGGAGGAGGAGGGGGGGGAGGAGGGGGGAGGAGGAGGAGGAGGAGGAGGAGGAGGAGGAGGAGGAGGAGGAGGAAGCTTGCGCTGCGCGCGGGCGGCGACGGGGGACGCGCCTCCGTCGCGTGTTTCAGCGGCTCGCGGGCCGCGGCCCAGCATGCTGCGTGGCGCTGTTGCCGCGCACTGGGCAAGATGCTCTGATCGAGTGCCTGCGTCGGGCCACGACGATTCACCGCGTGTTTTCAGGACCACATTCCCACACAACTTATTGAATTTGAATCCACTGACGAAACATGACCAACCGCTGACATGTGGCTCAACGCTTTATGGCAAAGAAGTGCCTGTCTATAAGTGCAGGGGTCGCATCCAGAGACCTTCAGATCGGGTGAGGGGGCGGGTGGGGGAGGCCCGATTGGGCCGACAGGGGGCGTGCCAACCCTCCTTCGCCATCTCGTCATCCTCATCCCCCCTCCCTCCCCCCCCCCCCCACCCCCCCCCCCCCCCCCCCCCCCCCCACCCTTGTCACCCTCGCCATCCCTCCCCATGACCCTCCTGCCCCTTGGGCATGGGCCTCCTTGGAAGCCGATGGGTGGTCGAACAGAGGCGGGACCAGGGCTTGAACTCCACCCCTGATCGGTCCCTGGAGGCGCCCCAACGAGCCCGACAGGCCCCCGCGACGCAGCCGCGGAGCGCGGACCTTCTGAAGGCGGTCCTGCGTTTGACTACCAAGTCTCGGTAGTCAAACGGCGACGGCCCTGCGTTTGACTACCAAGTTTCGGTAGTCAAACGCAAGGCGCCGCCGTTTGACTACCGAGTCTTGGTCGTCAAACGCTGAACCGCCATGATGGCCCTACTGCTCCCCGAGGAGCTTCCGCAGCGCCACGCTAATCTCTTTGAGCTTCCTGGCGTTCTCCTCGGACGCGGCATAGTCGGCCCTCTGGTAGCAGCTGATCAGGGTCGCACACCTCGGCATCCAGCCGCCGTGGCCGCCTTTGCCGCGTGGCGCCTCCTTCCAGCCGCCCTTCCAGCTGTCCGCGTCGCCTTTCCCGCCGCCCTTCCAGCTGTCCGCGTCGCCTCCACCGCCGCCCATGATGGAGCTGTCCGCGTCGCCTCCACCGCCGCCCATGGAGCTGTCCGCATCGCCTCCACCGCCGCCCTTGCCCGTGGCGCTCTTGGCGCCAGAGCTGTCCGCGTCGCCTCCACCACCGCCGTCGGGCTTCTGCAGGAGCAGCGCCTCGTACGCCGCCTGGCCGCTCATGATCTGCACGCCATCGGACCCCGACGAAGTCCACCACGGGAAGTGCAACGCCATCGTCGGAGCATCCTCGAACTCGGCCCCCGAGTTGTCGCTCCAGAAGAAGATGTTGGCCTCATACTGGCACTTCTTCCTCTCAGCAACAGTCGACCAAATCTTTTCGCTGCCGTACCAGCCTTCATCGGTGCGGAAGATGTGCACGTGGGCGGCCTCACCGCGGACGTCCGTCTTGTGGGCGCTCTCCCACGCGTAGCCGCCACCGTGCTCGACGCCAGCGTTGAAGTAGAGGCCCGAGCGCGTCTGCGCGCTCCGCAAGGTGGCCTCGTCGCACGACGAGAGGAACTAGGAGTTGGCCACATCGTCCGTCATCACGACCAATGTGGCGTGCCTGAACGGACTGAACCCCGCCTGCGCGACCTTGTCGAAGGGATGCATATCGCACAGCGCCGCAGCCTCAGCCACGGCGAGGCGAAGCTTGGTGGGCGGCGGGCCATCGGGCTGCTGCGGGCGCCGCAGCCTGCGCTCGAGCACCATGTCCTTGCGAGAGACACCGGTCATGTCCTCCGCGATGCAGTCGCCTCCGCGATGCGAAGGCCTCCGCGATGCAGTCGCCCTCACGATGCAGTCGCCCTCGCGATGCAGTCGCCCTCGCGATGCAGTCGCCTGCGCGATGCAGTCGCCTCCGCGATGCAGTCGCCTCCGCGACGCAGTCGCCCTCGCGATGCAGTCGCCCTCGCGATGCGGTCGCCCTCGCGATGCAGTCGCCTCCGCGATGCAGTCGCCTCCGCGACGCAGTCGCCTCGCGATGCAGTCGCCTCGCGACGCAGGCGCCGCCGCGATGCTGTCGCCGCCGCGATGCAGCAGCTGCGCGAAGCACGGCTTCGCGCTTGCAGCCAAAACGGCTGCCATGGAGGAGGTGTTAGGAGAGAGGAGGTGCGGGGGAGGGGGCATGGAAGTCATGCGTGGGTTGGGGGCCATCGGGGCCACGCGTCTTGGATGCGCGGCGTTGGCCGCGTGGTGTTTCTGACGCCTGTGGCCCCAATAAAACCTAACACCGGGTGCCCGCTATGGCTCTATAAGGGCGTCGAGGGCTACCCATGTCCATGGCACGTGGCTTGATTGCTGAGAACATGTTGGGTTTGGGGTTAGGGTGGGCCTATATAGCAACATTGCTTTACACGCGCCAGCGAAATGCATAGTATAACATTGCATGTAGCGTAGCATATTGAGGTTCGTCCCAAATGCATGGTGCATGCGTCGCAAAACTCTTCCTCATTCTCCCCATCCACCCTTCTCCTCCTCATCCGCAACAGGATCAGCAGCACAACGTGATGCAAAAAAAAACAGATTCTCAACTATATGGCGCGCATCATGCTGCGGGAACTCGCATGGCACCTCAAGAATGAGCTACTGAAGCTTATGGACGGTGGGCTGTGGCCGTTATTGTCGGCATCTTCATGGGCCGCTGTGGGCGTCGCCGCCGCCATGGGCGGCACCCGCCCTACAGCGGCAACAGCCCACAGCAACGATCGCTGTCCACCGCGGCAGTCGCTGCCCACGGGCAGCCCGTTCTCAGCTGCACAGCCAGCTAGCTCGCTGAGCTTGAGCCCGAAGGCATTAACTGGGGCGAGTCGTCGTCGTTGTCGCCGCGCGTGTCCTTAGCCTCCACGACTTCGGGGAGATGCGAGAGCCTCTTGAGCCGCCCGAGCACCGTCGGCTTGCACTGCACTTCGGCGCTAGAGCGCGAGACCCACAACTTGCGCACGTCCACGAAGATCCTGTTCACGTGATTGTTGGCCTCGCTCTTATTGGCGATGGCGGCGACGAGCCTCT